CCATTTTCTATGTATGTAGGCCTAATTCCATCAAAGAACCAAATTATTGCATGATATGGTTTGGTTCAACCCATACTTTTTCAACACAGAGTTTCGGAATTGTGTGAATTTATAGCTGTAGACTAGTGACGATAATCCAGCTGTATTCCAAAGTACTTCTTGACATACCTACTTGTACGAATCTAACTAATTTCGAGGTTTCATTTGCTCTTTAATTGACGGTCCTATGTCTTTCTCAATTCCCTCAAAAATTTTTCTGACATGCAAAATTTTTCATTCAAGATGGAGCCAATATTGCACCTTGTCTGATGGAATTTTGGTTATTTTCTGCAGTAATTTTTTCTTTCACTTAAACGAAAAAACAATGCTTTGTATTTTTTGTTTTTTGAAAATTTCTTTTTATCCGTGAATTGTAATATGTGACCTTTGATACGGTCCATTACATTGAGAGGGCAGGTATTTGAGATTTTCGAGTCCTCAGGGAAATTTTTGGCATTATCCCACAAACTTTAAACTTACTTTTCTTGCATGTTTGCTGATGCCCATAGTTGTGAGATCACAATATTTCCTTTTCTTGCATGTGCTGACGCCTATAGTAGTGAGGTCATATTACTATTTAACCCACATTTGCTTCCCATGTTTGATAGGTTATATTTTTGTTATTAATTTTATGATTACTTTTCTCTTTTATTTTATCAAATATTACATTAATTGATAAATTCTACTTATTTTTTGTAATTGACGTGGGTTGCAGGGATTCGGAACAAAAAGAATTAAAAACATAATTTTTCACTAGACTTGTTTTTTGTTGTGGTCGCGTCAAAATCTAGCCCTACACGTCCATGAAGTTTGGGATTTGACATGTGAGAAGATCTCCAACTTTAAATCAAAGTTGTGTGGAACAGAGATTCTTTGACGTTTTGGAAAGAATCAAGGCCGACTGGAAATTTGATTTCGCTTAAAAAAGTAGAAACGAAGGAAGAGCATTATCTTTTTCTTTTTTTTTTTAATCTTTTCTTTCTCCAAGAAAGAAACAGGTTGGAACGTATCTTTTCTTTTTGGGAGGAAACAAGAGAAATGTTTTCTCTTTCTTTTCTCTTGACTCTTCATCCAATAATTGAAGAATGGACATGGCAATTACTTCAACTATTTTGCGTGAGATTTTTTTAATAGAGATGAGCTAAGCTCTTTATTCTAGTCAAAGAACAACCAAGGATTTGGTTAACTAAAATTGTGAGATCGAATTGATTATATTTATTTCTTTTATTTATTGATATTCCAATGTTTCTTGATTTAATTTCTTATGGTTATTATATTATTTAAATATCTAGAGTTCGGAATTTAGATTAATTTAATAATTTAAAACCAATTAGAGCAGTTAAATCCATAATTGTTTCATTACTTTAAAATACTGGTAATTGGCATGATTGAATTTGTATCAGGGAGACATATGGGATAATTTAAAATAACCAGCAGAACGTGTTATTTGATTAGAACAGGGTTTCTCTAATTCATAATAAAATTGAAAAATTGAGCTTTAAGATCGTATCAGAGTTATTTCTTGATTAGAGTAGTGGTTAATGGTCGTACCTTAATCATCAATACAGCAAGGAGAAGTTGACTATTATCGCTTGTTTGGCAATTATAATTTGTTTATTAGTGAATAAATGGAATTATTATTGCATCAATGATCAATTGAGTGAATTATCTCCAAAGTTATTTCTTGACTAAAGTTTATTTATTATTGATTCAATTTTGATAAATTGTCATTTAATCCTTTTTATTTGAATTATTTAATTATTCTCATTTTTTTTAATAAAATTTCCCCTGTACTTTGTGCTCTAGAAGAAACAAAATTTTCCCAATTCCTACAGATTCGTGATAGGTCATAATTTGTTGCTAAATTTATAATTATTTTCTCCTTGATTTTAGACAAATATTGTATTACTTGATTGATTCTACTCACAATTGGTATTTTGTGTTAATTTCAGGAATTGGAATGGAAAGTGCTTAAATTAAGAGTTCCTAGTGATTTGCACATGGGCCAGAAAATCAGGAAAGAGTTTAGGCAGTTTCGTAATCCAAGTCAAATTCCAAAATAATTGATTGCTGATGGAGGTTTCCTATCTTTTGGGCAGTCCACATCAGTCTCAAACTGTTTGGGAAAGCTTGAAGAAATTGATTTGTAATAGGAAACCATCTATTCAATTAGTTAACTTATCCCTAGAAAATAGGGATTGGGCAGAGGATTTTTGGGAATTTTGTGTTAATTTCAGAAATTGGAACAGAAAGTGCTTATATTAAGAGTTCCTAGTGATTTGTAACGTGGGCTAGAAAATCGAGAAAGAGTTTAGTTTCCTAATCCAAGTCAAATTCCAAAACAATTGACTGCTAATGGAGGTTTTCTATCTTTTGTGCAGTCCACATCAGTCTCAAGCAGTTTGGGAAAGCTTGAAGAAATTGATTTGTAACAGGAAACCATCCATTCAATTAGTTAACTTATCCCTAGAAAATACGGATTGGGCAGAGGATTTTTGGGAAGGCTTTTTCGGCAAGGCCATATAAAAAAGAAACTTAGTCATTTACTAGGGTTGTCTTATTCTTTTTTTCTGGCTAGTTTTTCTTTTGACATTTGGGAGGACAACCGCTGTAGGCTTTGAAGGGATTCTTTTTGCATGGATTGTTCTCCATTAATGGAGAACTAACTTCTTATTTCTAGTCAAGGGGACAACTGAAGATTTGGTTCAACGATAACTGTGAGATTTAAATTATTTTAATTGTTTCATACAGTCATTGGTATTTGTATGTTTTTTGCTTTTCGTGGTTATGATTATCGTGTGTGATTGAATATGTGCGCAATATTTAATTACTCATGTAATCTATTTGCTAATTAGAGTAGTTGAATCCGTAATTGTTTAACTACTCCAATCCCAGTAGCAACTGATATAATTGGGTTTATATCAAGGAAATGTACAATTTAATTTAAATAAACCTTCGTAGCGTGTTTATTGATTAGAGTAGGGTTTCTCCAGTTTCTAATGCAATTGGGGAATTAAATTCTATGACCGTATCTAAAATTATTCCTAAATTAGGAAAATAGTTAATAGTCGTACCTTGACTATTGAAACAGTAAGGAGAGACTGACTGTCGGATCGTATCGGCAGTTAAAAACCTACTTATTAATGAATGTTATAATTATAATTGCATCAATGATCAGCTACCTGAACCATCTCTGAAGTGTATCCTTGACTAGAGCTTTTCTCATTATCTTTCTCTCTTAATTATTTTTCGCAGTCGATTAGTTTAGTTAATAATTCATTAGCTTTTAATTCTCAAAACCCCTATTTATCCCTGACTTGAAAAGGAGCGGAGCAAATTTTCTCCAATCCCTGAGGATATGACCTTACTTGCCCTATATATAAATTAATAAGTTCTCGTGAATAAATTCTGGTATATCGGATCTAGCAAACTCTTCGGAGTCAGGGTGAATCTAGTAACCCATTACACATTCAAAGTCCCTGCTCCAGTACTAGAATTGACTTGGAACTGCTTTTTGTTAGCAACTAGGATTAATATTATTATTATTGCACATGCTCGACACCTATCAATTCGACCCTGCTCACCACTATATATAAAAAATTGTATTTTATTTGAGTAGGTTTTTATTATTGCACAGATTCGACACTTGTCAATTTTTGGTATTTATTATTGCACAGACTCGACATCTATCAATATTTTAATATTTATTTTGGTTTTTATTTATTTATTTATTTGGAAAAAGGCACCTGTTATAGTGACCATTCGTGTTTGCTTCTGCTTGAAGGAAGTGAATTTCTCACCCAAGGTGGCTCCACCCTTGGTACATGATACTTTGTCTGCAGACAGAATTTCTGCTCTCCAGTTTTAATAAAGGGGATTCCTATATCATGTGAATCACATGTATAGACTTTACAATTAAGGCGTTGCTTTTTTATTTTTGTTTTGCCATGGCTCTAATCAAACGTTGGCTGCCATAAACATAGAAATTTGGCAAATCATTGTCGCTTGCAAATTGCAATGAAATGATAAGGGAGAGAAAGGGCATCCCACTTTTTTTTTTTCAAATCCATTAGAACTGTACAATATGTACTCCATCTATTATATTATAGTTCTTTTCTATCCATGTTTGCAACATGTACTCAAAAAGCCTATAACTATGCAGTAAATACTAAGGACTTTTGTATATGGCTATAGGTATACAAAATAGTCCTATCTATCTTATCAAACACTTGTAGTCCAGTCCCCATTCGAGCATCAGTTCCAAATTTTCCTTGGTTCTTGGAGCACTCTCCCAAGATACACAAGAAACTGTGAGGCGAATTAATGAAATTGGCAATTTCTACTAGAGAGTACAATTGACATGGTCATGACCCAGAGGTTAACGGTGCAATTCAATCATGCATGAAAATGAGACAATTTTTAGTTGTCATTAAAATTTAACTTACAATTCTTTTTAAATTCTCCCCTTTCTCAAGTTGGCTTTTAAATTTTCAATAGGATAAAAGCAATAGTTTTATTTCTTCATGGGTATATCTGAAGAAATGAGACTTAAGAAAACATAGGGGAGAAAGAGTTATAAAAAGTTTGAAAGGTGCAAATGTGAGGCAATTTTGAAAAAATTGAAGATTTATAACTGGTCAATTAAGTGTAGAGTAAACGGCGAAAAAAGTCACTAAACTATTTACAATGCATGCTTTAGTCACGCATCATCCATTCAAGAATCACGTATACTTTGATCAGCGACAAACTATCTACTTTGTCCTTGTAATACTACCAAAAAAAGAAAAAAAAAAAAAAGAAAGAGCACTTGCAGAAATGGGAACCATAAGTGGCCTACCAAGCCTGACAAAATTGATCAAAAGCAACCGTAGACTACGGAATTGGATTCCAAATTTGGAATGGCACTTTGTTGAAAGACATCCATAAATACCCACAAGTAATGAGTCTCCTAATGCATCCCTCATTCACCTCGAATCATTTCAACTTCATATTTCCTTGACAGTCGTATATAGTTTCTTTGTACTCAAAACTTTCGAGGGATGGGTAGATACGCTTTATTAGTTGGTTGCTGCTATTTGGGGGATCGGGATGAACTACAAGGCTGCTATAATGATGTGGACGCAATGCAAGGTCTGCTGATAAATAGGTTTGGTTTTCATCCCAATGATGTGATAGTTCTCACTGATATGCCTAACTCCCCTCTGAAGCCCACAGGTGCTGTTATAAAGTATCAGCTTTGTCAGATGATTAAGCGGGCAATGGCCGGTGATGTTGTACTGTTCTATTTTAGCGGCCACGGAACTCATCAGGATTTCTGGGAAGGCCCCTACTGCAAACGATTGGAAGCAATTGTCCCCTCTGATTTCAATCTCATATACAGTAAGTTCAAACATATATATAATACAGCGATGCCAAAGCCCAGATTTCTCAGTTTCATATAATTTACACCCGTGTCTTGTTCACATTCTACATTACTTCTGTCAACAGGTGCAGACTTTCGATATATGGTAAATAACATGCCACAAGGTGCTGATTTCGTTATGATAGCGGACTCCTGCAACAGTGGGGGGCTAATAGATCAGTCAAAGGAGCAAGTTGGACCCGGCTTTCGTCCAGATGTTTGCTATCGCACAAGGTCCTACAATTACGGTAACATTGGCGGCGGTCGCAGAGCCAAAAGGATGCCCATCGAATCGGTTTTGCGGCATTTGAGACCTTTGAGTCACGTAGACAGTTCAGATATTAGAACACTCTTGAGAGACATTTACGGAAATCAAGCCAGCATCCTGTTCCGACGGCATGTTGATCCCGATGCCAGGGTTGATCGTGGCATTCTTATCAGTGGATGCCAGTCCAACGAAACCGCAGTCGACGATGATGGGAAACATCGTCGCCCTTATGGTCTGTTTACTGATGAACTTTGCTCTACATTGCGGAACCTGCGCCGTCCCATGATGAGCAACGCAGAGCTTGTGGAGACTATTAGAGATAATTTAAGAAACAAGGATCAGCATCCATGTCTCTACTGCTCTGACAGGCATGCCGATGCACCTTTCCTGTGGGTACGCTGAATCAATCGACAGTATGTGTGACTGAGATCCTACGTACCACTACATGAAATTAGCTGGCCAAATAAAGGGTTTAGATGTTTTCTTTAGATGGTTTTTGAAGCATTTTAGCAATTTCATACGGTTTGTTCGTGAGTGTATTCCTCTGTCTTTTGGTTTTTTCTAGTTCAGCTTCTTCCACCTGGTTCTGTTTTGGCAATAAATTTGTTACAGTAAACCGCCTGGAACCTTTTAGTTGATGGGTACATTTTGCATTTGCCGAAAGATTTTTACTAAATGCTACAATAGATACATGTACACTGTGTGCTGTAAAATTGAATTCCAGCAAATGCCAAATTTATCTATTTTACCACCCAACAAGGATGCACATTCTAACATTTAAAATGCAGGCCCTTTTTTTTTAAAAAAAAATTTTTGGGTAGGGTGGGATTGAAGAGTTTGGAAATTTGAACCCAGAACTTCTAATTGCTCTAGTCTTAACCATAGCCACACAAGATTAGATATGATGTGCCATGCACACTTACTTACACTTAGCCGTACCACCGTACTAACTAAGCACAGCAAGACCGACCAAGGGTTTCACATAGAAAATCATACAGCAATTTTAATTTGTAAACGCATTTTCTAACTGGATTAAATGTTAACATCCTAGAAGATTACATTAATAATAAAATGCGGGTCCATCTTATTCAAACTTGATATCACAATTTAACTAAAGAAAGCATAGCAAAACCGACTATGAAGTCTACAAGGTTTTTTTGTATTTCGATTCACACATCAACTTCAATCTATAAAAACCATCTCCCATCGCATTGCTTTGCACCCCAAATCCTTGTTAAGAACTACATTTCTTGAAACCTCTTTGTTCTGTAAGAACTTTTGTATGTACCCAAACACCAAACTAAGGCAACATGGCTCCTATCACTTATGATTATGAGGCCTCTTCCTCAATCCCTCCTGCAAGGTTGTTTAAGACCTTTGCCCTTGATCACAACCTCATTCCCAAGGTCTTGCCACAGGCCATTGAGAGTGACAAAATTGTTCAAGGAGATGGAGGAGTGGGAACCATTAGGTTGATCTATTTTGGCCAAGGTTAGTTCTAAACACAGACATAATCCTTTTCATAATTTTCCAAATTAGGGAGAATTATAATTTTGATCCTCAATTTATCATTCATGTGCGCATTTGATCCCTAATCTATTTCTGAAAGTAAACATAGTCCTCAATCTATTCAATTTTGTGCAAAAGTGGGCAATTGGTAGATTTTGTCCAATTTCTAATGGAAATGATGGCACGTATAGTCATGTGCCACAACTTAAAATTAGAAAATTTTACCTTTATCCTAATGAAAATTTAAGAAATTACCATGGAAAGAGAGAGAATTTGGAAAAAAAATATTTCAACTCTTTTTTGGCATAAAACACATCATAGTTTTATTAAATAATGAAATATGCACTAATTGTAAAAATTACATGATACAAAATAGATACAACAGATCTAAAAGATTAGATAATACACTACCGTTTCAAGAATATCTGTGCATGTTTCAACCACCAAATCTGCTAATTAATTTTTTTCAAATTTCGACAATATGATAATATCTGACAAAATAAACCTAAAAAATTTCAAATTTGAAACGAAATCTGAAAAAAAATGAAAACAAAGATCTAATAAAAGAAATAGAAAAATAAGAAAATTTTCTCTAAAATACTTTAAACTAATTTTAGTGACAACTCAAAATTGTCTTGCGTGCATTTGTTATTGACTTGCAATTACCAAAGTGTTTTTTTTTTTTTTTGTCATCACAGAGGGTATCTGGGCCATGGACTGGTAATACCGTACGCCCCAACTAATCCCACTGGCAATTACCAAAGTGTTTGCCCCATAATCTCTAGCTTTGGACTATGCCATTGTAATAAACAATGGGGACAAGAATGCCATTTCGTTCGGATTTTTGTTTACATACTTCTTGATAAGTCGTTATCATGTGTTTGTGCTTTCTACACAACGCAATTTGCATCTAATAAATTGCTTAGTTAATTAAGCATCTTTACCTGGCCTACCAATTAATACTTGAATAGTTTACCCAAAGCTATCATGACTCACGAACTTGGATTTATGCATATGGAAGCATCTTAAAATATTCAGCACTGGAGTTAATGATAATTTATTTTTTCATCGTATTTGACCATTTTGAGTGATAATCATAGACAGTCTTTCTGGGTGAACAGCATATCGGTTCCTGAGAGAGCAAAATACCAAGCCCGAAGAAACTCCAGTTCTAGCTTCAAAGTCTGATTAAGGCTCTAGCTCTGGCCTGGTGTTATTTTGCAAACAGGTAATCTAGCACCATCAATTTTGTCTTAATTTTCTGGCAATTTTTAGATGTTTCATTTCCTATTCGTCACTAATTTGACTATCTTTGTCATTTTTGGGCTCTTTGGAATCGAACAACTATCAGTTACCCTTTAGCTGATGTGGTTACGCAGAGAGATTTAGAGGGAGATGGCTCAGGCTGCAATTGTTTCTCTGGTGCACCAGTTGGAGTGCCTGATGAAATTCCCTTTATTGATTCTCGAGATCAAGAAGATGCAGGTCAAAGCCTTCTCTGAGAAAGTCTCTGAACTTTTAAACGTTTTAGAAGGAACTCCAGTTCTAGTGAGATCTCGTGTGGAGCAATTACGATTCGAGAGTGAACCTCTTGGACGGTCAATTGGAGATTTTCTTGTTGCAGTTAAGTCTAATGCAGTGGTGTCAGACGTCATGGAGATCATGCAAAGATTACTCCAAACTCACTTAATGTCAGAGAATATGCAGAAAATACTTGATGAAGTGCCTACCATTTTGATGCAAATTGATTTCATTGACAAAGAATCATACAGATTCCGTTCCAACAGAGATCTTCAGAGCACCAGGGAAAACCCAAGACTATGTTATTTTCTTGATGTAGTTAGAGAAATGGATGGTCCCAGTCATGATCTGAGAGCAGCAGTAGTCTTTTTCAATGATGTGGGCATCCAGCAGATGGTTCTGTACAAAGATCTTCAGTTCTTGCTCACTGCATTTGAGGATTCTTCTGTCAAATGGCGTGGCCGTAATGAAGTGGAGAAAGATGTCAAATATATTGTCAACAGAGCAGCAGGTTTTGTAAAAGAATGGATGAAAGACAATTCTATCCTGTCAGAGATGAGCTGTTTAATAGATACACTAATTCACAAGTGCACCGAAAAATCTCTGGATAGGAAAATTAATCTTGAAGCAGCAGTTAAAAGTGGCTTTGATGGCGAGAGAGGCATTCACCAATACTTTTCACATATATCTGGAGAGATTCAATCCATTAGGAGAAAGATCAGACAGAATAGAGGGATAAAGGGTATTACACTAGGTTTAAAAACCTTGCAGCTGCAGAGTAGTCTTCCCCTCAAAGGACATTCATTATCTGATTCAAATCTGAGGAATATTGTAGTTGGTTTTGATGCTGTTTTGAAGAAAATTATGGATAGACTAGCAGAACCCTTGCTGGGAAGAGAAGTTCTAGCAATTGTGGGGATGGGTGGTATTGGTAAAACTACTCTAGCTAGACAAATGTTCGATCACCCTGATACTGATTTTCAATTTCATTGTCGGGCATGGGTTAGAGTATCTCAAGTATACCAATTGAGAAATTTGTTGCTTGATCTTTTGCGCTTTGTTACCAAGCCCTCTGATAATGTTCATGAAAAGACTAATGAAGATCTAGCTCAAGACTTGTATCAATCTCTAAAAGGTAGGAAGTACCTGGTTGTTATGGATGATGTATGGAGTAATGAGGCCTGGGATTGTATCCAGATGTGTCTTCCAGATGACAATAATGGCAGTCGAGTAGTTGTGACCAGCCGATTCATGGAATTAGCAACCTATGTGAGTCCAAAGAGTCTTCCACATTGTATGAGTCTTTTGGATACAAAGCAAAGCTGGGAACTGCTGGAAAAGCTTGTTTTTGGACTTGAAAGTTGCCCTCTTGAATTGGTGGACTTGGGAAAGCAAATAGCAAGAAAATGCCATGGATTACCCCTTGCAATTGTTGTTATAGCTGGCACTCTGTCTAGAACTGTGATGACATCTGACTGCTGGAAGGATGTTGCAGCTAGTGTAAGTTCAGTTGTATTCACCAATCCCGAACAATGTTTAGATATACTTGCTCTGAGTTACAACTACTTACCCCAACAACTTAAAGCTTGCTTTCTATACATGGGAGCCTTTCCTGAAGATTATGAGATTGAAGTTCGGAAGTTAATTCGTTTATGGATTGCTGAGGGCTTCTTGGAAGCAAGTTCTTCAAGTAATCTTGAAGATGTGGCAGAGGCCTACTTGGAAGATCTTATTGGTAGGAGTTTAGTTTTGGTTGGAAAAAGGAATGTAGTTGGCAAAATCAAAAGTTGTCGACTACATGACCTCTTGCGGGAATTATGCCTGAGGGAAGCTCAAAACATCATGACAGTAATAAAGCAAGAGGACCAAAGTTTCCCTGCAAAAGACAATCAGCGTCATCTCATTTTGCACTTGAACTCTGATGCTGATGTCCACTTAGCACCTCCATATCGAAGTCTTCAATCTTTTTTGTGCTTTGCTTTGGGTTCAGGTTTTGTTCCAGATATCTTTTTCTCTTATTTGACATTCGAATCCCTCAGAGTATTGGACATGTTTTTCTTGCAGTTTGATTCTTTCCCTGCTCAAATAGTTAACTTAGAATATTTGACGTACCTTGCACTGAACGTTACCTATAAGCTTCCCACAGCACTTTGGAGACTCAAGAATCTCCAAACCTTAGTCATCAATGGTCCATGGCCAATAAGGGACGACGGGGATCTCCCCACTCTGATAGTGAGATATTGGAGTATGCCAAACTTGAGGCATCTCCATACAACTATGGTTGCTTTTCTAAGCTATCTCACTGATGCTGCAAGCAATATTTACCGCAAGCCGTTGCCTTCGGGATACCTAAAAACATTATCCACAGTACAGTTTCTCTGTTGCAGGAGGGATGCGTTTGCCAAGATGCCCAATCTTGCAGAACTAGGATTGTGTGAAACCAAAGAAGACTACTACAGGGATCGATCATGTGAGTGTCTGAAGGATCTGGCCTACTTGCATCAGCTTGAAGCACTCAACTGTTCCTTTTACAGAGAAATCAGAGAGGCCAGGACTATAAGTTGGGATGCTTTCCCATCTAATCTCAGGAAATTGACTTTAAGCGCGAGCAATCTGCCATGGGAGGATATGACCAATGTTGCCAAGTTACCCAACCTTGAGGTGCTCAAGCTGAAAAACTATGCCTTCCGAGGATCAACATGGAAACTAACTGATGAAGTATTTCG